CCTAAAGTTGTTAGTGGAGAGAATACATTTGTGTTGAAGTCCATATAATTATAAATATGCTACTAATAAGGCATTTTGAAAGAACATTTAAATTTAAAAATAACACTTTTAAAACACTTTTAATAAGTAAGAAGGTTAAATTAGTGGACTAATGTAATTATTTATTTAATTAATACTTGTATCTTGAAGACTCTCAGGTTTATAATTATTTTTTCTTTGGTTCCTCTTCGACCAGACTGAGTCATCAATCCCTCAAGAAGACAGCGACAAAAGTAAAGTAGTAGAAGCAGTTTGTCGAATGGCCAACAGCTCCTTCTCAAAAGATGGCGACCGTAAAACAAGCGACGAGCTGCTCTCTCTTCTTAAACTCGCTTGGAGTAACGGGTACAAGTCGGAAGTCTTGCAGGCTGAGTTAGTTACCATTTATTTATACTCAATTTATGCATAAATTATACCTAAATTATGATAATTTCCAGTATTTATGAGGATGTGATATCATTAGTAAAGTTGCTGACATGTGGGGAGGTCAAACTCTACTCTTACTCGAAACTCCCGAGTGACCTACAGAAGTTATTCCTCGTTAACTCAAACCAAGGAGATTTAACTGAGGTGATAGCAATGAATTTAGATGATGAAGTTGATAATTTGTATAGTGCAGACTATGATGTATGATTGTTGTTAGGGTAATTGATCTAATTAACTGATTAAATTAACTAGTTAACAACGAACAATCCACAAACAGTATTTTGCTGATCACTTAGTTGCCAGTAACGACAAAGACAACAACAACGTTAATTTATCTGAAAAATTGAAATCTTTGGTAGAAGGTTCCTTAAAAAGGACCCTAGCTGAAGTTCTCTACCTAACTCAGTCCTATGACGGTTAGACTAATCGACATAATTAACTAATTATATGGTCTAATTAATCAATTAATTGTTTGCTTTATTGGTTGTTTGAAATACATACCACCTATGTACACATGAATGTGTGTATGTGTTTGTATGTATGCATATTTGTTTGTTTGTATGTGTGTATGTGTATATGTATGTCTGTAATTTTTCACCAGCTGCCAAGACAGCGAATGAATTAGGCATGAAGTCTTGCTTTGTTCTGAGGAATGACGGTGATGACGTTACTGAAGAACAATTGCAGACTGGTTAGTCAAGAATTTTTTCTGAATGATGTTGAGAAGAAGTTTTAGATACATTTAAAAAAAATTTTTTTTAGAGTTTCCTGATAATTTTAACAATTTTGGTCTTAAATAATTTTAAAAGATAACTACACACCACTCTTGAATTGTGATGTAATCATCAT